TATTATTTGCTTAACCACTTTAAAATGGCTTTTTGGTTGCTTTTAGTCAGAAAACGTAAAGAAAAGGACATGCATACAGCAAGATAATATAATTTCACTTACCTGGCCTATCACTTGAAGCAAACATCCATCCCTTCTTAAAAGTCTGTGTTAAAAGAGAGCTGCCTGTTATGCCATTTAATTAAGCCGACTGCTGTAGCCTATATCCAGCTTAGGCTGTTTTCCTTTATTTTTATTTTTATATATATATACTGTTTGAATGACAGCTTGGTAAATCTGTTGGCAATCAAATATTCAATATCGCTACTCATCATAACTACTTGGTACATTATCAGCGCAGCGGCAGACGTTCAAACTAATAACACGTAATTTACGTCTCTGTGATGATTGGCTGATATCAGAAGGGAGGCTAGCCTCCCCTACAAGGGTTCTTTTCTCAACACTCCTCAGCGCTGAAAGTGAACACTCGATGCTGATTGGCTAATTTTTTTTACCAAAGGAGGCACGAGAGCTCGCCTCTCCCCTGGCCTCCCCCTAACCTTCTCTATCATTAGCGGTTGTAATTACATCAGCAGATTCGGCACATTCGCCATAGAAAAGCGGCACTTTCACGTTATGATATTACAACTGTGAAATTACAAACAAAAAATACACATTCTGAGACATGAACTGAAATGAATTGTGAATTTTATTAACATTAAATCGTCCTCCTCCCATTTTCACCTCAAAATTATGGGGAAGCTGTGCCTCCCGGCCTCCCCCGATGAGCCGCCACTGCTCCTAAAAAGCTCTTAAAACTACATTCCATGACACAAAACCGTATTGTTTTTTTAAATTATAGTGGATTTGAGTGTTCACCATGACACTCACTGTGAGAAGTACAGCAAGCGGAGTGATACAATTACAAATGGTGAAACGGCTGCAGTTATGTTGGACTCTAATATCGCACTCTTATTAGCCAAACAGATGAGGACCAGAAAGAACCCAGTGCTGGTTCAAAACAACCCAACCGCTGGGTTTTTCCCTTTTTAACCCAGCATTTTTTAGAGTGTACTAACAGCTATAGCAATAGCTTGCAATGCACTAACAACATCTATATGAAAACATCTATCTCTAAACGTTGTGCTTCAAACTTTCAGGCTAAGCTTTCTCAAGCCAACCTCAAAGGTTGTTCACAAACTTAAAATGTTTTTAACACACACAGTTTGTATACATTTTTTATGTATTTGTTCTATATTTGTTTACAAAGTGCTATTTCAAATTGAAATGTTTCCATGTGAAATATGAAATGACGTTAAAGAAAAAAATATCACAACACTCCCCAGTATTCCTGCCTGGTGTAATTGGTTTATTTAGTCTCTATTGAAATCTCTATTGAAGACGTTTTCATAATTGATAAAGAAAATATCTGTGGAATGTCTATAGAAATTGTCACCTGATTGTATTTAGAGATCTTGGCATCTTGTGCTGCACCGTTCCGTAATGACAACAGCATATTCTCAGTAGGACGAAGAACTGCTTTCAGCTTCCCCTTCAGAGATAACAAAACAAGAAATCAAACCTGTTTTTCAGAAACTTAACTTAAACCTACTTCTGGGTTTTTATGTGGTAATCAACAGTAGCCTACATTACATTTTATTTCAGAATCAAAAACTTAGATTTAATACCTGCTGGAAATGAACAGATTAAATCAGCCAACGTTTTATTGGTGTGTTTGCTGGAATTAAAGGGGTTTGAGTAGATTTCAGCTGCCCAAATGGGAAGAACCAGTTATGATCATCTCAAACCAGCAAATCATTTCTCTCCAGGAAGATAATTATTTTGAAAGCATTTATAAAAGCCTATGTATAATGTGGCAACTTGCCATCAGTTATAAAAGGTGTCATATGTTAAATTTCTAAATATTATTTAATTATGAATAACAATATTAATTATACAATATTAAAATAATTTTTAAGTTTAAGTTTTTTTGAAGACAGACCCATTTCATTAAGCATTAGTACAGGCTATAAAATGGCTCACCTTGCGTTGTCGTACAGCCTGGTGTAAAGGCTGTGTTTGGTGCCATCTGTGCTCATGTTCCTTACATGTTGCACATATAGCCTCTTCATCATTTTGACAGAACAGCTCGATTTTCTCTCCATGTATCAGACACTCGTGTTCTCCGTCCTTCTCCTCCTTCTTGTTTTTCTCTCTCAGGTAAGACTCACAGGTGTTCCTCAGGCTCAGGTTGGACACCGGTTCCTGCGGAGACACCTGTCTACAGACGGGACAGTTTCTGGAGCTGCTGGAGGTCCAGTGAGCATTAATGCACTGCCGGCAGAAACTGTGTCCACAGCTCAATAACACCGGATCACTGAAGAGATCAGTGCACACAGGACAAGACAGCTCAGCTTCGAGTGCCATTTGGAGACAGAAAAATAAAAATAAACAGAGATTTCACTAAAAAACTATTCTGACACTCTGTAAGAATATGCAAAGAGACCGAGCAAACAAAACACTCCCTAATGTTAGTACCGGCTCTCTGTATGAGGAAATGACATGTCAAACTTTCAATGGAAGAAAAAGAAGGTCAGAAAGACCTGTACATATATATACCTGTACATCAGGGGGTGCTGTGCGCTAAAGATCCTCTCAGAGTCACATTCAAATTTGCAAAAGCCTGAAAATAAATAAATAAATAATGTACTGGCAATGTGTTTGTGACATTCTATAGAGACATAGATACAGAATTTTGAATTTTTTACCATAAAACAATTAACAGGTTTGTGATAGTTAGTGTTAGAGCTATCATTTTCAGTATTATATTGAAATATATAATACTGAACAAGTATTATACAATACAATACAACACATAGACTTTCCAATACGGGGAAACAACATTCTGGACTTTGTTTACACCACCCAGAGAGGAGCTTACAAGGCCCTCCCCCTCCCCCACCTCGGTGCCTCAGACCACATCACTGTCATGCTAATGCCTGCATACAGACCGCTCGTTAAAGCCACCAAACCAGTTCACAAACAAATACAAGTGTGGCCGGAAGGGTCGTCAGAGGCTCTTCAAGACTCTTTTACCCCCACTGACTGGAATATGTTCAAGCAGGCTGCAACATACAATAACACCACAGCGTTAAAGTCACCAAACCAGTTCACAAACAGATACAAGTGTGGCCGGAAGGGTCGTCAGAGGCTCTTCAAGACTCTTTTACCACCACTGACTGGAATATGTTTAAGCAGGCTGCCACATACGATAACACCACAGACCTCCAGGAGTACTCAGAGACTGTCACTGCCTGTCCCCGGACAGCGTGAGGAGATCTCTCAGCAGGATCAACGCACGCAAAGCTCCGGGTCCTGACAACATTCCTGGGCGTGTACTGAGAGACTGTGCAGTGGAACTCATCGATGTCTTCACAGACATTTTCAACATCTCACTAAGTCAGGCTGTTGTCACCACATGCTTCAAAGCTACCACCATCATTCCAGTCCCGAAGAAGTCATCTCCATCCTGCTTCAATGACCCCCATCCTCATGAAGTGCTTTGAACGGCTAGTCATGCACCACATCAAGTCTGCTTTATTTAACTTTTTATTTTTTTACATGTCCTTATTGTATATTTGTATAGTTGTATTTTATATTTTATATTTAATCTGTATCTATCTGTATTTTTATGCTCTACTGTTATCTGTATGCACCAAGGGTCTGAGAGTAACATAATTTCAATTCTTTGTATGTATGTACTGTACATGTGGAAGAATTGACAATAAAGCAGACTTTGACTTTGACTTTGATATTATATTAGTCGTTTCCATATCATTTATGCATTGCCCTTAAATATAAACAAAATATACTGTGTAGCTGATTTACACACACACACAGTACAGCGTATTTCCTGAAGATAACATGGTTCTCAACCTTTTTGCCCCCAAGGCCCCACACAAGGAAATATTCCAGGGCCCCCACATGAGCCTTTTGACCTCAGAAAAGCATAAAAATTATTCAAAAAGATGACATCGGTCCACTGAAGGCATGCCGCTGTAGACCATTTAAAATGTTAAATACTCAAATTAACTGTTTACTCCTCAACATCTGCCTCAGAAAAAATGGTGGTTTGATGTTTTTATTCTTGATTTGATGTTATGATTTTCAAAGCTTAATAACCCAGTGCGCTCTCATTACGTTATTACCTGTTCTTTCATTTCACTGTAACTTGCATCCTTTTGGAAGTCAAACTTCATAACCCTGAAACTGTAACAAACAAAGCACTGTTTTGCTTAAGTTAGAATGAACTGAAATTTCTTTAAAAATATCAATTTAATTCCTAGTTTAATTCCTTTCTCAGCCACATCACAATGCAGCTGGCTTGACTGCATGTTAAAGATTGTTATATATTTCTCTGTATCTTGTCCGGGGGAATGTTTTGGTGAGAGGTGGTAAAATTAACGGCATTTTATTGGTAAAAGGCCAATGGCCAAACTTTTTTTTTTTTAATAATGCATTTTCACTTTGTCCTGTTACAGTTACCAGGATACTGAGTGATGAAAAAAAGCACAGAAAGCGAACTATGGTTGCAAGTTATGTCACAGTTAAACAGATTCAGTATTTCCCAAAACCACAGTTCCAATGAACATCCGCAAACAGCATCAACTTGTGTGCTTGGAACTACAGCAATAAAAGCATGGCTTCTTGTTAGTATGACATGTGGACATGCTCTTGAGCAAAATAAGCAAGCTAAAATACAGTACTATGTATTCTATATCTAATAAATTTATGTCACAAAAATATAACACACTTCGAAGACTTTACATGTGCGTTCAAAAGGGAAACCGCGACTGAATCAAACACCTGGAAATAAAGCAAAACAATCATGAACAAAAGTAGAGAAGTTGAGTCCTCAGATGCTGTGCTCATTATTTATTTGATCTTGATTAGCATAGTCAAAATAATAATAATAATTCTATACCAAAAACTGACAGTCAAAAATGGAGGAAAAGTGGAAAGACATGAAAGTTTCAACTAGTTTTCAACAGAGAAGGAATATGAATGACGCTGAACTGTAGTTTGAGAAGACTTTGCAGACCTGGTCAAACAGGATATTTACGCACATAAACCAGGATACGGAGCGCTACTAGAAGCAAAGATGAGTCACATGATACATCACAACAATACTGTGCTGCTACAGGATATTGTGAGGATGATAAAGATCACTGAAATCATCTATATACATTTCTGCAACACCGTAATTACGCACCTTACTGTACGTTTCGCAGCAGTTTCAAAGTGAAATGTCCAGAGAGTGGCATTAAAACACACGTTCAATGTATTTTTAGTACGTTGGTACAAGCACGTATTGCTGTGTTTTAGTTACGCTGCTTGAGGTACATATTGTAGCTGTTCAGAATTCAAATATCCAGTGAGTGTGGCTAAAGGTTAATGCTCTATTATGTTGGAAATATCCCCTACACCCAGGGCCGTGCACAGGTTTTTATAAATACAGAGGTCCCGAAATGGAGATTGGTAGGGGGGGGGATTTAGATTTTCCTGACTTACATGTGTGCATTTTAAGATGTTTTAAGGCTCATAAATTGGATAATAATATAGGTTTAAAACCAAGTCAGTGGGCAGTAGTAGCATAAATTATTTTTCAAAATAACAGATTCTTAAACAGGAGAATCAGATTAAATGTTGCAATGAATGATCCACGCTACAAACTGGAAATAGAGAAGATATATACAGTTTGTTTATGTTTATGAATTTAATAAACTCAGTTATAATTATCCTGGTAGCCTTCAGTAAAATCACATGTCTAAAATGATTAAACATGAATATAATTTTTATTTTTTTATTCACACTGATAGAAATTAATATTTTCCAATAAGATTAAACTGATGTTTACATTTTATGGGAATTTTTACCTTTATAAAGCATTTTTTTCTAAAAGTGTCCATTATCTTTTGAGTCAAATTCTTACATTTAATCAGGGAATTATAATAATAAGACATTTGGGCTGTTACCAAGCAAATTAAATCAACACAGAAGCTGCATCTTCAGAGGCATTTAGATGTGTTTACACACTGTTTAATGCAAGACATGAACGCATTTAACTGCAATTACAAATGCACAAACACATAAATAATGGTTTGATATATTAAACATAAAACGTTAAATACTGATATTTGAAATTATTTAAAACATGAAAAAAAAATCGGGGAAAAAATCGAAATGTGAAAGTAAAACTGCCAATAGGTGGCAGCAAATCACTGTTAATAAGTGATCCATTGCGAATGAATCCGAATCATTTAAATGGTTGATTCATTCAGGAACGAAACACCATCATGTTGCTCAGAGACGCAAAACAGCGCTGTGGCTGTATTCGGAATGATTTTTGTTGGCGAAATAGAGCAAAAACAGACGATATGGTGTCGAAAACATAAGTCTCTTAATTAACTTTTTGTTCATTGAGCTGTTGTAAAAAAATCAATATCACGTTTGTAAATAATCATGGTAATTTTTGAAGAAAAATGGCGCTCTTCGTGTGAAATCGATGAACTATATGAAGTGGTATAAACTATAAATATATATATTTTCTGCCCCCGTGTCTTGAATTTGTGATCATTCTAAATGCATTTTAATAGACTGAATCATGCAGTGAAAGAACACTCTACTCACACGCACTAATCTAGACTTCACGTTATGTATGCATGCTCTCTGTAGGGGTGTTTTGAATGGTTTTTGCAAAACACTCGATCATGTCAAATTGCACATCGTTAAAACAACAATTACGATATTATCGCAGACGATATATATCGCACACCCCTACCCCTACTTTGTCGAACCGTAGTTTCACAGGGTTCGTGCCGGAGCTCTTCATCACTCAAGTGCAACGCTGTATCGGGTGAGCTACCGAGCAAACCTATTGAATTAGAAAACTCATGCATATTAAGCTGTATGTGACGACAACATTCAAAAGTATCCGTTTTCAAATCGCGCAGGATGTTAAAATTGTTTTGAAGTCATAGTATCCTGCAAGTAATTGTGTGAAAATTAGGCTTTATTAATGAAAACTCTGTACCTGTAAATCATACTTTGTGTGAAAAGGAATAAAAGTTGTCAGAGTTTTACTGCCTCTAGTGTTCATTTCAACTGGAAACTGCAGTGATTCGTATGTATAGGTAATTACGGTGTTGCAGAAATGTATATAGAGGCATGTATTTCCAATCATTCTACTACAATGATAAACCAGAGCAGTAAAAAGAAGCAGATCAGTAACAAGAAATGGTTATATTCACATTATAGTGCAGTAATGCTAGATCTTTTGGTTTTGCTGAGAGGTCTTGTTTAGCTGAATTTTTAGCTGACTGAATTATTATAACAGACCTTTGTAAATGGACCGCCATTTACTTTTCACCTGCCCTGTTGGTCACTCTTTCCTAACAGAGTCATCAATATAAACATGAAAAAACCAAAACAGACAAAGAGAAAAGGGACTCGATTTCTCTCCAGCAATGATATTTTCTGTTCAACAGTTAGAGTAACGTTAGCTGGGACGAAACGCAGCGGGACGGCCTGATCTTCTGGGATCACAAAGGGAAAGAGTTTCTTCTCCAGTGGCACTCTAGCAAATTCTGCAATTAATGAATCGCTGCTAGGATCAGAAAAGCTCACCTTCCTCCAGCGTTTCAGCTGCATCGTGTCTTGAAGACACTCATAACAATACACAAGCTTTACTCTCACTACCACTGGATTTAAACTGGTATTTAATCTCGACATCCCAGCGGTCATCAATTCGTACGAGTCTCCGTCACGTCTGAGACCCCAGAAGCCGTTTTCAGGGGTCAAAGGTTGTGTAGTAGGTTTTCCCTCCAATCCAAAACACACTCCAAGACTCCAGTGGTGACTGTCTCCCACCTCAATGTCCCACGCGTGAACTCCATCAGCGTATCCCACACTGCCCAGCACCATACGGTTCCTGTGCAGATGAAGAGGGTTGGGCTCGTCCTGCTGATGAACACATGAGGTCACAGAGGTCAGGTCATCTGACACAGAGATGTCTGGTGGAGCAGCGTTTGAATTCAGGATCACAGGGTCTAAAGGGAACAGGGAAAAGCCATTTATGCGGATATTAATAAACACCGTAGTTCTTACAGGAATTAAAGGGATAGTTCTCCCAAAAATGAAAATTCAGTCATTAATTACTCACCCTCATGTCGTTCCAAACCCGTAAGACCTTTGTTCATCTTTGGTTGATAAATGAAGGTCTTACGGGTTTGGAATGACATGAGGGTGAGTAATTAATGATACAATTATCATTTTTGGGTGAACTATCCCTTTAACTTTTACAGGTCTAGTACTCACAGTAAGAGCAGATGTCCTTCATCTTCTCCCAAGCTTGGTATTTCAAGTTGCCCAGATGTTTGGGAACATCGATAAGAGTTTCTGAACTCAGCTCCTGATCTGGCAGTGTGTAGTCAGTCCTAAACACACACACACACACACACATCACAGAATCCGGTTTTAAAATTAATGCTCATGAACATTCTAAAAAGAAAAATGGAAATCCTGATAATGAAAATACCTGTCCATAATTCCATGATAATTCTGAGAAAAAATGCAGAAAGACAACAACATAAGTCCCTTCCATGAAATAACAATAATAAACTATAACCAACACACCAACAAGAGCATAACCTCATACTGAAATCATTTCAATTTTGTTATAGTAAATGTAATAATTGCTCATCTGACTCATAAGTGCAACTCTGTGAGCTAAAACCTTTAAATGAACGCCAATTTCTCTCTTTTTGTAGTAGAGATTTTAATGGCATGTCAGTAGTAGGGCTGGTCGATATAGCTAAAAAAGTATCACAATATATTGTTTCATATCATTCGGTATCGATAATTATTGAAAAATTTTAATAACTTTTTATTAAAAAAAAAACAAGTAGAAAAGTTTGAATTTAATAATGTGCGTAAATTAAAATACAGTGTTTAAAGCAAACAAATAATATTACTTTTAGCAGTCAAAAACTAAAAATGTAAACAAAAATATCTTCATGTCTTATCTTAAGATTTAAAAAAAGCGTTAACTTAGTAGCAAAAACATTCTCAAATTACACAAATACAATTAAATAAAAAAACATACAAAAATTCTGAAAACACAACAATTTCAAATTAGACAATGTTTTACACTTACATATGATAAAAAAAAAACTAAACTCTTTCTGGTGTAGTCTTATTAAAAAAAAGTGCTTAAGAGAGCTTATTAAATAAAACGGTTTTCTACTTGTATTAAAAGCAGGACAGTCCAATAAAAGGTGTTTAATAGTAGGGGAGGGGGTCTCTCCTCTTTTTTTGTTAAATGATGATTTTTTTTGACAGGATTTACCACAGTGAGTGTGAGTGTGTGTGTGAGTGTGAGTGTGTGTGTGAGTGTGAGTGTGAGTGTGTGTGAGTGCGAGTGAGTGAGAGTGAGAGTGAGAGTGTGAGTGTGTGTGTGAGTGTGTGAGTGTGTGAGTGTGTGTGTG